ACGTAAGTTAAGTACGTCTCTCTCTCTCTCTCTCTCTCTCTCTCTCTCTCTAATCTTAACAATAAACTTTGATGGCAGTAGCTTCAGTAATTTAGGAGCGGCTGGTTTTAGCTGACTGATTAACAATAGTTTCGGCCACACTTTATGCTCATATTCAGGCCTCTGTGGTGTCCCTACAGCTGATGAGGCCAAAGCTCGCAGTCTGCTCCAAGGATTGAAATTGCTATCAAGATGAAAGGGTAGAAAAATAATTGAACGAGATACATCTAATGTTATTAGCTTGGAGCGAAGGAGAATTCAATAAACCATGCAGATTAAGGACATTGTTTCATGAAATTCGAGATTATTTGCTAGTACTAAATGCTGATCTTCGACATTGCTGCCGGGAGGCTAATGAGGAAGCGAATTGTTTAGCTACTGGGGGATTTAACTACTATTCTTTGGTAGTTAATTTCTGCCGGTGACTCTTTTATTCTCCTGTATAATTTGCAAATTTTTACTGGTATTAATGGAAAGCTTGTGTTAATGTTAAAAAAAAAATTAAATTAAATTGTAATGTGGAGGGGAAAAAAAACAACATAGTACTGTGGAGGAGTACAGTAACCCTTAAGGATTTGTTGACTAAAGAAAAGTAATGTGTTTGGTTGAGATACCTACTCATGCCTTTTTTTTTTTTGGCTCATTCATATTAAAGTTCCCAAGATATTAGCATATAACATTGTACCCAAAATAATCAATTTCTCTAACAATTATATATGGCTCCACCTCTTGACCTTAGGCCCCTATATTCTTTCCCCTTGTCCCCAACTATACAAAACTTCAATTGTACACCCATATATAATTGTTGCAAATCTATCAATCTAATATACAAAGGGGGAAGAGAGAGAGAGAGAGTAGAGAGGGGTGGAGAAGGTTTATATTCTAGAGAGAGAGAGAGAGAGAGTTCTGATGAGAGAGAAAGAAAGAGGGGGGACAAAGGGGGAAGAGAGAGAGAGAGAGTAGAGAGGGGTGGAGAAGGTTTATATTCTAGAGAGAGAGAGAGAGTTCTGATGAGAGAGAAAGAAACAGGGGGGGGGGGGGAGGCTCATGTATGCTACATGGTACCACATAAAATGCACCCTCTCAGGACTACCAGAATCATGACCCAGCATCAATCTCTCTCTAAAAGACCCTTACCATCAAAGCATTCCATTTTCTCTCTCTAAAATTTTTTATCTTTGTAGCAAATCAGCCACCAAAGTTCTTGAAGTCCTGGGGATTGTTGTTAACCCCAAATCTCCCGCCTTTGTCTTGCAGCCCTCCCTGTCTCAAACCAAGCGTCAGCGACACGTCACCTGTCTGCCCTAACCGTACGGACCCACCATAAAGAGCGTCGGCGCCGCAGTTAAATAAACCGCCTACGGTTTCGCTGACAGCCATAAAACCGCTAGCTGTTTCACTGGCTTCCTGGAAACCGCCACCTGTTTCCGTGAAATCCGGCGGTTCTTGTAACGACGGGTGGGTTGGGGGGGGATTTGTAGGATTGATAATGGTGCCTTTAGTCATATTGTTGATCTCTTCGGCTCTGTTGAGGGATGGGATTGCAGACGTGGAAGGCTTTGATTGGTTTTGGGCCTGGGCCGGGCCCGATGCCTGGGCTTGGGCTTCTTCTTTGCTTTCTTCTTGATACATTTCTTCGACCATTGGTTTCCAGAGCCGAACCCTTGCGTTTATGAACCAGTTTGAGACCTGGGAAAGAGGGGTGGAAACGGGAAATAGTTAATGAAACTCTCACTCACGCACAAACACAATCTCTCTCTCTCTCTCTCTCTCTCTAACACACACACAAACACAAGCAATCTCTCTCTCACTCACACATACAAAAGCGAAGCTCTCTCACACACGCGCAAATACAATGAATCATTGAATCTCTCTCTCTCTTTCTCACACGCACAAAATGAATCTCTCTCTCACACACACACACACAAAAACACAAGCACTATGAACCTCTCTCTCTCTTTCTCTCACAAACACAATGAATCTCTCTCTCACACACACACAAGCACAACGACCCTCTCTCTCTCTCTCTCACACACACACACAAACACAATGAATCTTTCTGTGTCTCTCTCACATAACACACGACACAATGAGTCTCTCTCACACACACACAACACACAATGAATCTCAAAACACACACACACACAATGACTCTCAAAACACACACGCACAATGAATCTCGCTCTCTCTCTCTCTCTCTCTCTCAAGCACACAAAATTACCCTCAATCTCTCTCTCTCTCTCACGATAAAATGAATCTCCCCCTCTCAACAATAATGAATCTCACTTCCACACACAAACACAATGAATCTCTCTCTCCGTCTCTTTAACATCACACAGTCAAACACAATGGATTTCTCTCTCTCTCTCTCCCTCTCACAAAAACAAAAAGAAAACACACACACAATGTCTCTCTCTCTCTCTCAGACAAACACACATACACACACACGCACACACATACACAAACCATGGGTCACTCTCTCTTTCACACACAAAAAGAAACACACACATACACGCAAACAATAAATCTCTCTCTCTCTCTCAAAAGCGCCAACCCATGGTTCTCTCTCTCTAGGTTTCTTTTTCTTGGTTTCTGCAGCATTTAGAAGTGGTCCCCTCTGCAAAATTTTCTTCATGACATCGTATCCCTTTCACATATAAAAACAAAACCAAAAGTTTGCATAGAAAATTAATTTCTTTCCCTTACATGTTTTTCAGCGAGGAAACCATTTTCTTCAGAATGTTTATTTCCCCCTATTTAATACACCTCAGAAAATGCAGGTTTTTTGAAAGCGATGTATTCTTCTTGTTGTTTTTTTGATAAAAGCACAAAATTTTATTAAATTCTTCTTGTTGTTTTGCATATTATTTATTACCGTGTTATTTTCTTATCTTTTTCTCAAGAAAATCTTATTTTTCTTTTCATGGAAATAGAGTTTATAAAGATGGTGACATT